TTAAAATACTTAAAAAAAAAAGAAAGCCTAGTCTTGTTTTCAATGTTTTCCAATGTCAGTTTGCAGACAGACAGATTCTGGGAGAACTTAAGCTCAGATTCAGGGCCCTACAGCAGGGTGGGACACTAATTTTAATGGGCTTACATTTGCCAGTGGTTGTGGAAGGCTGGTCTCAGTGGCAGGCAATTGGATGAGGTTGGGCCTGACTTTCCCTGAGGGCACTTGGCAATGAGAGTGGAGTTTCATGTCCGTCTTCACAGAAGAAAAGATTTCTGCGTCAGGAAAGATCTTAATGCTGTTCGCAAGAACGAGTGACTTTAGTCTTCTCCCCATAATCCTCTGGGAATAACTCAACAATTGTGCTCTTGTTCCAGTGTGCTTTGATCTCTGGATATTTATTTACCTTTATGATTAGCCTTTATCTGAAATGGTCAACTCAGTTCCTGACACTGTTGTGCTCTAGGCTTCGAAGTTGTGTTCTTATTGACAGAAAAACAAACTTGCCTACCTGAAGTCCCCAGGACACCTACGTACTGGAGTCAGGGGTGGTTTCCAAAAGGACCCAGGGAGTCTTTGGGGAATGCTTGAGATCTGGTTTGGTGAGCACGCCACATGCTAACTGCCAGTCACTCTGCTGCGGCTGGGAGGAATGCCCTGTGAGGAGGAGCTACCTGTTCCCAAAGGCTGCAACTGGGGTGGGGTACACCCATGAGGTTTGCAGGGGTCTTGCGTGGAGAAGGGTGTATGGGCATTCTTGCCTCTCCCTGAACCGGGGGCGGAAGTTGAGCAGATAGCAATTTGAAGGCCACAGGCACAGGCTCAAAATGGCAAACATACCTGACTGACTGGTATGGTAAGGTATTACATTTCTTTGATAAAAATGCTTGCTGGTTTCCTCAACACTTAATGTGACCTTTAAGAATATGACTGAAAGACAAATATCACATTGTTGGTGCTCTTCCAAATGTCAAGCCTATAAGTCTATCCCGAGTGAGTTTGTTCCAAGAAATTGTATTTTGGTGCTTAGCACAACTCTTAACTAGGTCACCAGGGTTTAAGTGGTGGATTACTAACTCTAGTGTTAAGAGTATTTTACAGGAACAAATACATCTCGTTATGGTTTTATTTTTATTTATTATTTTGAATTTTGCTTTGATGATACTGGGGGGGGGTTAAGCCCTAGGCTTCATGCATGTCGGGCAAGCTAACTAACACTGAGGTATGCTTTTTTCCACCTAAATGTTTAGAAAATAAGGTTCTCAACTGCCCAGGCTAGCCTTGGAGTCACAGTAGCACAGTAGCTGGGATTAATGTACTGTGTTTTGTGTATTTGGGGTGGGAGTATAGTGTCCAAATGTAGTCAGATTGACTTCTAACCTTCTGTCTTCCTGTCTCTGCCTCGGGAGTGACAGTATTACAGGCATGCGCCACAATGCCAGCAGGAGGACAAGGTTCCTGTTAATGAAGATGCATGGCTCTTGTACTGTCTCACTCCGTAGAGGCTTGGGAGTGGTGCAAGTAGGAGGGCACACTTGATCTAAGAAATCAAGGCTTGAAAACTGATAAGCACGACAGTATACTAAGTTCTAACACATTCAGCATAGACCTGCAATGAAAACTCATCTGAGAAGACAGGCAGGGATGCTGTGCGTGCGTGCGTGTGTGTGTGTGTGTGTGTGTAGGAAATCTGAAACACAAGAACTATAGAATTCTATAGAGGGAAGCTGCGAAGGACGAGGCTGGAAAGGCAAATTGAGCCGTGGGAAGGGCCGTTGAAAACAAAGGCTAACGAGTTATTCCATCCTAGTGGAAATGAAAAGGTCCGAAATTTTATCTTCAGATTTCACTTCTGGAAAATCATGGGGATTCCCATCTTTAAAGACAAAAGGAGACCTTCATTCTCCCTTCCTCCCAAGTCTCATCTGCAGGCCTGGAACCCTGGGCAACTTTCTGACATCAGCTTCCCAGGAGCTGGGATTATAGACATATACCACCAGCTCCTCATAATTACTTTTTAAATAACTTAATTTTGGAATTCTTTTTCAGCATCACAGATGACATTTTAATAAAATGCAATGAAATTATGGCGGAGTTTTAGAGAGGCATGTAAGTATATTGTGCTGAGAACACTACTGATGCAATTTTGCATTTTTCTGTTGTAGGAAAAACCAATAGCAAACGTTCATTGATCTTTCAAAAGAAACTGCATTTATGAAAGGACTTTTTTTTCTTTGAATTAGCAACCTTGGGGAAAAAAGAAGGGCTTTTCTGAAAGCATGTTTGAAATGCACATGAATTTTGTGATAAGGTCTGTGGTTTCTAGGGAGTAGCGAATCATAAAACCTTGGCTTTGTTTCTGTTCCCCGGCAAAGCTGTGACATTATACATCATTTACATGTGTCCTTTGAACTACTGTAGCAGTTATGGCCATGCGTTTGGTCATTGCCCACAGAACTCTATTCACACGTCTGTGTTACTTAGTAATCACTGGATAGATGCACATTTTGCTTGTAAACTTCCCACAGGTCTACCTTGTTTCTGTAACATGCATGGATTTGAATCATAAAAGACTAGTTTTTTTTCTTCTCTTTAGTTTCTAGTATTTCATTGCTCACTAGTACTTTTTTGTAAATAAGGTCATGCTATCTTAATCCAACTTGGAGTCTAGTCGGTACAGTGAAGCTGAGTTTAGATGGGCAAAGCTCTAAGGGAGTGTGGTGGTTAGTGTTGCCACGGTGACAGCCCCTGAACATGTCTGTGGGGGAGTTATCTTGACTGAGACGGAGGACCAATTCACTATGAGTGGCACCTTTTCCTAGGCGGGACTTTCCAAGAGTGGAGGAAGCAAACTGAGTACCCGCACATACGTATTCTTTGCCGTGGTCCTTATTACAGATGTCACGTGAACAACTCCCTACTGTGAAGGACTACACCATGGAACTGAAAGCCAGGAGCCCTGCATCAATCACTTTCTCAGATCCATCGCTTTTTGACGGAGTATCAGATGAGTGGGAAAGAGACTCAGGCACACAGGGTGGAGGTCTCAGCTCCCACCGCCTGCCTTGGGAGGTGGAGAGCAAATCAAACTGGAATATAATTTCTTGTTCTTTTTTTTTGGTTTTTTTCGAGACAGGGTTTCTCTGTGGCTTTGGAGGCTGTCCTGGAACTAGCTCTTGTAGACCAGGCTGGTCTCGAACTCACAGAGATCCGCATGCCTCTGCCTCCTGAGTGCTGGGATTAAAGGTGTGCGCCACCAATGCCCGGCTTGGAATATAATTTCTAAACAGAGAATTTCATGATGTTGTAAGCTTTACAGATGTCACAGAGAATTTCATGATGTTGTAAGCTTTACAGATGTCAAGCTCTGCAGCTTCCTTGACAGACCTAGTACTAAGTTCTAAATTAAAACAGTTCTGTATGGTGGTCCTGTGTGCCCTTAAACCACCAGAACCCAAGTTTGCCTCGCAATTGAATATATGGATATACACATTGTATATGTCAAAGCCCATGACAATGCAATCCTGCTACAAAGAAATCCTGTGCTACTTTAGAAGTCTACTTATTACTGGGCCATGGTGGCACAAGCTTTTAATCCCAGTACTCCAGAGGCAGAGGCAGGTGGATCTCTGTGAGTTCAAGACCAGCCTGGTCTACAGAGCAAGTTCCAGGACAGACACCAAAACTACAGAGAAACCTTGTCCCAAAAAAATCAAAAAACAAAGAAGCCTACTTATTTCCGGCAACATTATATACAACCTAGTACATACATGAAATGGTAACTCCTTGCTGTTGGAACTGAATCATTAAGTGTATTTGGGTAAATTTATTTCCATGCTGTGCTAAACATTACAATATAAACTTTGAGTAGAAAAGTGGGATCCAAGAAATGTGCTTTTCCTTTGAACCGACCTGGGGTAGTAACTATATGCTAAGTGGGTTAAGTGTTGAATTCTGCTTTTTACATTTTCCTTGCTATTACATCCAATTACAGACCTTATGTGTGCTTCTCAGTACTATTTCTTTTGATTTAATGTGCTGACTAGTCTGCCAGCTTGACACACATACTAGTTATCTAAAAGGAGAGAACCTCAATTGAGAAAATGCCTGCATAAGATCCAGCTGAAAGACATTTTCTTAACGGGGAAGGGCCCAGACCATGGTGGGTGGTGCCATCGCTGGCCTGCCGGGCCTGGGTTCTAAGAAACTGAGCAAGCCATGGGGATCAAGTCAGTAAGCGGCCCCTCCATGGCCTCTGCATCAGCTCCTGCCTCCAGGTTCCAGTCCTGCTCCAGTTCCTGTCCTGACTTAACTTTGATGAACAGCAATATGGAACTGTAAGCCAAATAAACCCTTTCCTCCCCAGCTTGCGTTTTGGTCATGGTGTTTCATCACAACAGTAGTAACCCTAAGACTTAATTGGTACATTCTCTTTCTTTCTTCTTACATTTTTTGAGTCAAGTTTCTGTGTAGCCCTGGCTATCCTAAAACTCACTCTGTAGACCAGGCTTGCCTAGATCTCAGAGAACTGTCTGTCCCTGCCACCTGAGTGCTGGAACTGAAGGAATGAGCCACCACCACCTGGCTAAATACAGGCACTTGTTAAAAATAACAAATGGCCTGGAGAGGTGGCTCAGAAGTTAAGAGCACTAACTGCTCTTCCAGAGGTCCTGAGTTCAGTTTTCAGCAATCACATGGTGGCTCACAACCATCTATAATGAGACCTAGTGCCCTCTTGTGACATGTAGGCAGAACAGTATACACATAATAAATATGGGCAGTGGTGGTGCCTTTAATCCCAGCACTCGGGAGGCAGAGGCAGGCAGGTCTCTGTGAGTTCGAGACCAGCCTCTGGTCTACAAGAGCTAGTTCCAGGACAGTCTCCAAAATAATACAGAAAAACCAAAAACAAAAAATAAATATTTAAAAAATTTTTTCTATGAACCATGAGAAGTACTCAAATAAGTACACTGCAAAATCATTTTCTTTTTACAACAAAAGCATCAAATATCCAGGAACTTTATTTTTAAACCATAAATCAAACAGACACAGCTTTCATTAACCCAAACATGCATAATCCAATGTGAATATAAAATGCACTCAGTAGGTAAATTACATGATACAAAGGGAATGTAATTTTACAGATGTGAAATGATTGTTATAGCAATTTAACAAATTAATTAAAATGTATGCTTAAAAACAAAAATATCTTAAAGCCAATTATCTATAGTAAACTGAGGGAAATTCTGGTATGGAATGATTTGATTCAAAGGAAATAAGGCACCTGCTGTAAATTTAGAGGCTATCTTTCACTTTTAAAGTCATAATAAAATACTCAGTTAGCCAAGACTTGCTTCAGAGGGATCAAGCGCAGGGTTCTTAGGAGGGGAGGTAAGGTCAGCGACGCCCTGCAGACCCACAGCCGGCTCGTTCCTGTTTTACACACTGATCTAGTGCATCCCGACTACCCCTCCCTCCACTCTCCACATCTGAGGGAAGCAAGGTTCCTGTGAGGGTCACACTGCTCACAGAACAGGTAGCAACTTCTCCTTCCGTTCCTTTGAAAACAGCTTATCTTAAGAAATTGCCTGAGGAGTGGGGCAATTAGCAAAGCGAACATAAGCAGGCTTCTTCCACGTCATAAACACAGAAATTGCTCGGCTTCTGCATCAAGTTCTGGCTAAAAATATAAATAGTCAGGACTTGCAGTTCTGGACAGTACCAAAAACCCCAAACCCGCCTCATCACTCCTCACCCTTATAACAGTAAGAAGAAAATTTCATCAATCACAACCTGCAGAGTCATACAAGGGAAGACTAGACTGATCTTATCAGTAAATTCATTTAATTCCAAAAACTACTTCAGATTGACAGACCTAGTACCCTAAGGGCATCTCAATTGTAACTTTTTAGCTGATGTGCCTTTTTGGTATTAAAAGTGCAAATAACATGCTAAGATATCTTATGGCACACTGGACTCAATGTGTTGCGATGAGGCATTTATTTCTTATAGTCTTTCCCCCTTAAGTTTTGTCTAGCACAGAAAACCCCTTGATTAAGTTAATTCTGGTGAAATCAGTATGACATAAGCAAACCTTCCCTAATTCATTCTGCTATGACAGCTTTTAGTGAAACCTCAATCACTGATTAAGTTACAAAATGCTCAACAGAGCTTCAAATGGGATCTTAGGTGACTATACTCACTCATGCAAAATTCAAGGCTGTGTAACAGAAACATTATAGTTAAAACAGATGCAGTTGTTAGCATCTCTACTTATATTATGCCCTTGAAGCTTTTACAAAAAATTTATGTGACAATGATTGTGGTAAAACTAGGCTGTATAGTTGTCCACTTATAAGCACCTTATTATAGGATAGTTACATGACCCTATAACGGAGTGTGCTTTCAATTCAAGATAGTAATAAAATGCCTAGCTATATAAAACCTTAAGATTCCAAATTTAAATTAAGCTAATTGCATTTACACATTAGGGTTAACAAAATCTATACCCTGTCTACACAGATTTAATCTAATTAGCCATAAATTTTAATAACCACATAAAACTCATTCTGTACTGAATAAGTACAGTCTACTACTGGAACTTAATAATCAAATTTTATTGCTTTAGTCACGTGGTGCTTTTGCAAGGCACTGTGGTATGGACTAGAAAACCTGGAATGACTCTTGAAGAAACCTTGGAATGCCACATGAAGGATGATATGAAAACGTCATTCTGACGCAGGATGATTTACTGAATTGTTTTTAACCAGGGCATCGAGCATCAGGAATGAGTTCAAGCTAAATTCACAGGAGAATGGAAACAGCATAAGGTCGGTCACTTCACATGCCCATCCTGATACTTTGAATAATCTGGAAAATTGCTGTAAAGAGAAAGAGACAATATTAAAATAAGCTGACTAAAACAGGCCTGTCAACTGAAAAGTAATTATTACTGTAGCTGCAGAATCCAGAAAAAACATTATAAATGCTAATCTGACTCTGGTATAATAGGAAGCGAAGGCGGGTTTGTCATCATCGAATAATTAACGCCTTTATGTTATTATCTTGTGGTGCTCGGGATGGTTCCCAGGCCTCATGCATGCTAGGGAAGGGCTGCAACTGAGCTGCATCTCCAACTCAAATTACTTCTTCAACCGAAGGGCCTTGAATTTTACCTGTAAGGTGTCCAAGAAAGCTCCCAGACAAGAAATTATTCTAGAAGTTAAAAAAGCACCACAACAAACAAGGTTTTCTACCAAATACTTTCATTCCTGTCTATTTCTCACGCAGCTAACATATGCACCTTTCTGCAGTCTCACAAAGCTGAAATCCGATAATCTTTGGGTTATATAAACTGGTAGGCTCTTGGCCATATACCAAGAAAAGCTTCCAGTTGTTAAGTTTAGGAAAAAGACAAAGTGAAATGTGAAATGGAAACCTCAGTAACTGTTGAACGTAGAAAACAAAAGCATCTGTCTCAATATTAACAGCTTGCATATTAGCACGGGGCAGGAAGGCATTCTGTAACACATCTGCAGAGGCAAGGTCTACCACCCTAAAGGCAGGCTGCCTCAGGAACTAAGATTTCTCTGCGTACGCTGTATTAACCTGAAAACATCTGCCTCACACATTAAATGGCCAAAAAAGTTACGTTTGCTTCACAGACAGTCACTTCTCTGGACCAGCTCACTTTATAAACAGTTTCTGACATAGAGACCTTAGCTGCTGGCACAGTTCACGCTAGTTTCCATATGCTCGAGATGTTCTTCAGATTTCTGCAACACCACTGATAACGGGGTTGCAAATCATCCTTCTTCCAACAATTGTTGGGCCTAGTAATCTCTTCCAGCTGATCACTAGGAAGATCTGATCTCCTTTCTTAAGTGTTTTTGATCTTTTATGTGCACAAATCCAGGTGGGAAAAAAAAACTTTTTTTTTGATCATTTATGTGCACAAAAATCCAGGTAGGATAAATGTCCGTGGCACCACCCTCTTGCGGTGTATGGAGAACTGGGTTCGCGAGAAACCAGAGTCTTGAGAAACTCTCAGCAGGTGGGTTGAGCACCAGGCGCGCGCGGGGCTCGCCACTGAAAGCTCACCACGTCATTCCAAACCGAGAGCAGCGCCCCCGCCCCGCCCGCCCCCCACGGTCCCCACGAACGCTCTTCTTACCAGAGCCGCAAACGACAAAAATGAAGAGGGCCAACAACCAGGGTCCGACCGACGCCTTCTCCTCGGGGGCGTTTCTCTGCCGAAAGGAGGAAAAAAAAAAAGAAACAAACCCAGAAACTCAGTTTCGGACGCGAAGCCACCTCTGGGTTCCCCGATCCCCGGGCCTGCGGGCGTCCCCTCCCGCCCGGGGCTTGCACCGCAGCTGGGGGTCTGGGGAGAAGCGGCCGCGGGGCCCAGGGACGGGCGCTCACCGAGGTCTTGGCGACGTTGCCGCGCTGGGTGATGTTCTTGCTGTGCTTCTCGTTGGCCATGCGGATCCTCTGCTTGGCGACCATCTTCGCCGCGCCAGCCGCCCCGGGGGCCCCTCGGACGCGCTCGTTCGCCGCTCCCGGGCCGCCGGAGGGGAGGGGGAGGGGAAGGGAGCGGAGGCTCGCGGTGCCTGCGCCGCCACCGACGGCCGCCGGGCCTGGGCTGCCGAGCGAGCGAGCGTGGGTCGGAGCCCCGGTGGGAGCGCCTGCAGCCGCCGCGGTCCGAGCAGCCGAGGCCGGGGGGCGGGCGTCGGGCGCCGGCGGGGACAGAGAGCCGGTCGCGGGGCCGAGCGAGCGAGCGGGCGGGCGGGGGAGCGAGCGGAGGGAGCCCAAGCGAGCGGACGGCGCGGCCGGCAGCCTCCAACTCCTCCGGGTCCGGCTGCCAACGTCAGCAGCGGCCGGGCCCCGCCCCGCGGAAGTGCGAGCCCCGCCCCGCCGCCGCGGGCAGGGAGGGCGGCCGGGAGGGCGGGGCCTCGGCCCGTCCGCGCGCCGGGGAAAGCGAGCCGGGGTTGAGGCCGCAGCTGCGCGTGCGCGCCCGCGCGCCGGAAGCGGCTCGGCCCCGACGCCGGCGGCGCCGGAAGCCCCCGCGGGCGGTCTCCGGAGCTTGGGGAGACGTGGAGACGCCGGGTTCGGCCTCCAGCCGTGACCTCTCACCCTCCCCTCCCGCCCCCGCCCGGCGCCTGCGCGTTTCCCTTTCCGGGGCAAGATGGCGCCGTCCACGCCGCTGTTGACAGGTGAGTTCCCGGGGAACGAGCCGCGCGCGCTCTCCCGAGGGGGCTCCTGGCCCGCGCCTTCGCTCCGCAGAGCGGCCCGGGCGGCCGTGGAGTCCCGCTGGCCCGCTCTCGTGGCTGGCGGGAGGGCCAGGCTGCCTTGGTGGGAGTCTTTGCGATGGCAGCGTGGCCGTGGGGAAGAAGGGGCGCCTCCGCCTCGCAGCGCCCGGTCCGTCACTCTTCATCGTCCGCGGGCGCACGCACGGACGGACGGACGGATGGACGGACAGGACGGCACTAAGCGCTGTGCTCGCCCGGCTTGCGCCTCCCCTGAGCCACCGGCCTCTGTGTCCGGGGGAAACGCGACCCCGCACGTTAGCTTCGCCCGCACCGAGCGGAACGAACGCGGCGGCCTCCGCGTTTGCGTGCGGACAGCAGGACCCGCCGGGGAGCGAGGAAGCGCAGGGACCGGTTAGCGCGCACGGCCGGGAGGAGGCTCGGGGTGGCGGGGTAGATGACCGCCTGACGTCGTCCATCCGAGCCGCCGGCAGCGTTTTCGAAGTCGGACGTTAGGGGAGACTCTGGGGGGAGCCTGAAGCCGACGCAGTTTGTAGGGGCTTAAAAAAAAACGTGAGCTCTGTGACAGCGTCTGGGAAGGACGAGATCATGAGGGAAACAAATTCTTATTACGATTTAAGACCCGTGCTTACTCCTGTTCATTTAGACTACTGTAATTTATCCACCAGGTATTTGGAAAACGGTAGTTGTGGTCTGCTAAACACAGCCGGACTGAGGTTATTTTGTTTTGTTTAGATTTCCTGTTGAATTTCCTGTGTGAGTGTGTGTGTGTGCGCGCGCGCGCGCGCGCATGTCCACAGGAGAGCAGGGTTTCAGAGGCTCACAAGAGCGTATGGGATTCCCAAGTTAAACTGAGCCCCACCCGAAGTGAGTACTCAGAACTCAACTGGGGTTTTCTGGAAGAGCAGCAAAAGTATTCTTAATGTTAAGCCATCTCTCCAGCCCCCTGACACTGTTTCGATGGAATAATTGTGTAATTTAAATAAATAGTTTCTCTAGCTTCATAAAGATGAGTTTGTTACTTAGAGCCTTTGACACTAAATGAGTATTCCAATTCTGTTAAAAATTTGAGGCAGCGTAAAGTCGGTCCTGTTTAGCCCGTCATAGGGATCGCTTGTAATATCGCACTAACTCTTGACATTGCTTTCCCGTCCCATCTTATTTTGTATTCCCTCAGTACTGACTTGTTTGATTGGGACTGTCCTAGTCTTCCTGTTGATTTGACAAGCTTCTTCCAAGCTATTTCCCACATTTCCTGGACTCTTGGTGAGCTATTTTTATGTCTTCTATATACTAGGAGGTTTTTTTTTAAACACTTCACAAAGGAAATTCTCTGTTGAGATACTTTGTTTCCCTTCTAGACTGTAAAACTTCTTGGTGTTAGGGGTAGAGTCTTATTCATTCACACTTTTTCCAGTACCTACCAATCCAGAACCCAGTAAATCATAGACACTAAACAAAGGAAAATAAATCAGTGAACAGATTATTTGTGTGTAATCAAATTAACAAAGAACGACAATTTTTCTTACAGTACTCACAGTTAAAGTCGTTGTTCTGACACTTCCTCACAGTCTCATAATTCTTAGAAGCCCAAAGATTTACGATACAAATTTGCAGGGTCAGGATAATACTTAGATATTTTCACTGTGTCTTGTACCAGTAAAGCACACTGCTTAGTCTCTTAAACATTCTTAATTTTTAGTAAGTATCTAAAAATACTTACAGATTTTTAGATCTGTGAATAATTTGGAACTTATCAGTGAATTTTATTGTTCTTAATATAAGTCAAAAATAAGAACCAAAATATGTGAAAAGTGAGTTTTTTAACACTTTTTTTGTGCCAGTGGATTCAAGTATTCATATGACTTCTAAAATCTGTTCTCTTTATTCCCTGGTTCTGCCTTTCTTTCATTAAAGGAGACAGTTCATCCTCAGGCAGATGCTGAACCAGCGTAATAACTCTAAGAGAGGTCTTTCCATTGTTGGGCCAGCACTCCCAACAGGAATCTCAACGCTGGCTGCCTCTGCCTTGGCTTCACTCTGCATCAGCCAACGATTAATCAGGAGATCAGGACCAAGTTATATTTTCATCTTTGAATATTCCTAGAAGAAATTAGTGTTTCCTAAAAGTTAGTGGCTTGATACATATCCATTGTACTAACTTTCTAGTCATCAAAAGTGGATTCACAACTGGGTGTGAATACACTGTTAGCAAACATTTTTGTAATGATTTATTTATCCTGCATACAGTGCTCTGTCTGCATGTGTCCCTGCAGGCCAGAAGAGGGCACCAGATCTCATAACAGATGGTTGTGAGCCACCATGTGGTTGCTGGGAATTGAACTCACAACATCTGGAAGAGCAGTCAGAGTTCTTAACCTCTGAGCCATCTCTCCAGCCCCGTCTTAGCAAATTTTACATTCTATTTACTTTGTCACATTCAAACACTTGTAGTTATTCTGAATTCCTTATCAGAAAGATGTATATAGAGAAAATGTGTTGCATTTATTTAAAAGTGTTGAGGCCTTAGATTTTTGTCCGCTGTTCTAAAAACATTTTTGGTTAGTGTTGAAGTCCTAAAGTTTCCATTTACTTTCTGCTATCCTGTCATCAAAGTATTAATAAAAATAATTACAAAAAATCTTTTTATTTGGATGCCATTTAAGACTCATTGAAATTGCAGAACAGAAAAATAAAGGTACTGCGCCTTCCTCAATGATAGCATAAACATTGAATATTATCAAAGCCAGGAAGTTGACACTGGCACAGTAGTATTCACCAAGCTGCACCCTTACCTGGGTTCTTTTGGTTTATTTGGGGTGTGTGTGTGTGTGTGTGTGCGCGTGCGTGCGTGCGTGCGTGTGTGTGTGTGTCTGTCTGTCTGTCTGTCTGTGTGTATTACTAAGAGATTTTATTATATGTATGTCAGGTCCCAAAGAAACTCAGGACAGATGACTACAGCACTTTGTAGCCTCTGGGGTCTCTCAGCCTTGTAAGTCCCTGTGGTAGAGTCTTGTCCCCCTGCAGCTCTCCTCACGTACCCCTTACCACAAACCTGTCTGTCCCTCCCCGTGTCACAGCTCCTGAGTCCTGTAAAAGTGTACCGTTTTGGCCGTGCTCTCTCTTGGCTATCCTTTTCTCTTGGTCCCCTCTCTCTTCCCTTCCTCTCTCTTTGCTCCTCACTCTCTCCTTTCCTGGCCTGGTTCAGTCTGGACTCTGCAGAGGCCTCTGACTGTTCATACCTACAATAAAATCTCCTCAACCATACCTTGGAGAGCTTGTGTCCTCATTTGCATTCAGTATACACATTCATGAAGCCACTATCAGAATATAGTACAAGAAACTCTTGTATTCCATTTCTCAATAAAAATTTTCATGGTTCCAGTCCTTGACAACTACAGTTTGGTTTGGCATCACAATAAATTTGTCATTTCAAAGTATTGCATGAATGAAATCATCAAAAAGATAACTCTGGGTATTTTGTTTTCAAGGTTTCCTCTTTTTTAGAATGTAAATATGAACGGCTTGATGTGGGGGCTCACACCTATAATCCTAGCATGCAGGAGGCTTGGTCAGAGGATTACTGTGAGTGCCAGGACAGTATGAAGTACAACGTGAGACTATGTCTCAAAAGCAAATAAATTAATAAAATAAAAATCAAATCAAGAGCCGGGCATTGGTGGCGCACGCCTTTAATCTCAGCACTTGGGAGGCAGAGGCAGGTGGATCTCTTGTGAGTTTGAGGCTAGCCTGGTCTACAGAGCGAGTTCCAGGACAGCCTCCAAAACAATACAGAGAAGCCCTGTCTCAAAAAAAAAAAAATGAGTAAGAACATGAGGATATATGTATATGTGTTGAAAAGCAGTTGATTTATTTTGGCCCAAGATACTGCTTGTCCCTAAAAAAGAGGCAGATACCGAGAATAGACCATATGAGACATTGAGTGTTAGTTAAGCCAGAAAAACATGGCAGTTTCCATACTGGTTTTTAAAATGGCACATGTTGTTTTCTAAGACTCCAGTTCTGTATGACAGTATGGTTGACATGGGCTTTGTTTTTCTTCTTGTTGCTGTTTTTTCTTACTGCTACTATTTTGGGATTTACCATCTGTCCTAGTGAAGTATAAGTCTTAAATACAGATTTTAGAAAAGCCATTAGGGTTGTCTGAATATCCAGAGCTCCCATATTGTTGTCAGAAATGAACAACATAGGGGATCAGTGCTACCAATGGGAAGTCACCAGACCTGGGGAAAAGCTTTCCTGGTGGAGAACACGGGGAGCTAAGGCGAGATAAGGAAAAGTTTCCTCTTCTTTCCCATCTGTTTAAGCACACGAGCTTGGGCTAGCAGTGAGACTAACAACACTTTGATCATGTTCACACTTTGTAGTTACATTGCAGCCTTATTAGGACTGTACTGACAGTTTGCCATTCTGAGATCTCCATGTAAATCTGAAAAAGCTTAGTGTATTTGATTCTACTACACCTTAGTGAGTGAGAGTGACCTTACACTGCTTAAATTTCTACATAATATACAACTAAGGTATGGCCTTGATAAATGCCCCATTTGAAATTTGTATTTGTTTTATCCCTATAATTTTTGTTACCATGTGACTTATGCTGGGTGAGGTAGCATATGCCTTTAATCCCAGCACTAGAGGGCAGAGCATTTCTGTGAATTCAAGGCCAGTCTGCTCTACTTAAGAATATTCCAGGCTAGCCAAAGCTACATAGTGAAATACTGACTTTAAAAAGAATTAATTATAGTATTAAGAAAATATAGCCTATTCTAAATCCTAATGTACATTGCAGCAGGTTTGGTGCTGAGAAATGCTGCTGGTGCCGGCCCTGTGTAGTAGCAGAACTTGAATGCTGTAAAGAATAACACTTCAGAGCTATAGAGGTCGCTCAGTCGTAGATACACTTACCTTAATGTATATAAGGTCAATTAACACACACACACACACACACAAAATAATAATAATAGGTTTATAATGTGTTTTCTTTCTCTGGGCATGGTACTTCATTGGAGGCTGATCTATGCGAATCTAGGCCAACTTGGTCTACAGGAAAGATATAGCTAGGTCAGCTGAGTCCTTGTCTCAAAAAAAAAAGTTCACAACCTTCACAGTGTTAAAATCTAGGACATATTATGGCACAGGGCATTTTATAAATTTAATTATAATTTTTTAAAAAAGGGTATCTTCAGCATTTGATTTAAATTATAGCAGTAGATCAAACTGGCCTCAGACTGTGTTCCTGCCTCAGCTACCTGAATATTGGAATGATAGGAGTGCCTCCACACCTAGTTAGAAATTACCCTGAAGACAGTGGTAAAGTCTTTTCATCCCTAACACTTAGCACATAGAGGAGGTATACAGGAGCACATTAAATAGCCTGTCAGTCATTGTGTACAGAGTTTTAGTTTTGAAATGGGCAGGGAAGCTTGATGGGTTCCATTCTGTGGTAGGGTACTGATGGGGGCTGTCTTCCAGCTGTGTGCTTAATGTTGTCTAACAAACTTAGAGTTTTTATGGGTTTACTTGTTTTCTGTTTGCTAAATTGGCAGCGCCATAAAGGTGTACCTATCACTTTATTCATTTATGGTTACCTTATTTTCATTCTAACTAAAAATGGTTTACTGTTCTTTTGGACTGCCTGATACTGAAACTGAGGTAGTTAATTCTTAGTCAGGCTAAGTATTTTTCTAAAGGATTAGAATTGGAGTTAAACCCCACCCCATCTGTTAACTTTCCTAGTAGGTAAGAGAAGGGTGGAAGAGACTAACTAGGAGAAATGGAAATGTATTGAAGCCATGGGCATTAGTTAAATTTTCTTCGCTTGGGTATGTAAAGTGCTGTTGAAGTATCAACCCACCACTAAGTCCTGCTACATTTTCCTGCATGTTAATCCTCATTGCTTGTTAATCCTCATTGCCTGCTTCTCATCCTGCTGCTCCACTCTGAATCAAATGTCCACAGTCTTCTCTGTCCAGTTCATTTTCTACATTGTACCAGACCGATCTTTTAAAAATGCAGATCTGCGTTTAGAAGTCGGAGTCACGATGTAGGACAACAAAGGAGTAAGATGTCCAGATGGACCTTTTCTCTGAAAATGAAAGGCTGTGGATTCCTTCCAGGCTTCTGTGGTTTGATAAAGCAAGACCCCCTGAAGTGGTGTCCCAAGTGATCCAACATAAGACAGCTGAGATGATGCAGCCTTACAGACTACAAAAACAAGGACTTGGCCAAGTTTCTGTGTTTTGTCATGATCCCCATGGTATGGACAGTGCCCCCAACCAACAGGAAGCAGTTTGGAATGAGCAATGCCTAGATTCCCAAATATTTTTATAAATTTTTGTTTTCATTTAAATGGGGTTATAATTGGTTAATGATCACAATGAATCCCTTTTTTTTAAAGGTAAAAGGGAGATTATGGTATAGAAATGAATACATTGTATTGGTATGGATTTTCATTTATTGATACAAATTTAAGGTCAATTTTGTAATATATATGTTTCTCCTCTTTAGGTATTGTGTTTGTATAACTCATTTAAAAATGTATAATGAAATACAGATTATAGTTACCTATAATAGTCAGAACTTATAGCTATGTTAGGTTTTCTAGATATACAGAGATGTATTTGAGATGGATAGATATTCTTCAGACCTTTCAAAGACCTACAGAATATATGGCATTTAAATAGCTTAGGGTTTTTCATGATAGTGCGACACATTATTCCTGGCACACCAATTACATCTGAGAGGAAGATGGGCATCAAAGAAACTAGTTATGGAGTTTGCTTTCAACATGGCAACATTAGCCATTTGGGCAAGAAACTGCTCTTGCCTGGACTGCTTGACTGTTGCTGTATAAACTGGACATTCAGGACCCACAGGAAAGTGACTGCTGAACTCAGTCTTACAGGGTTCCTACTTCATGGAAGAGTCTACCAGACTTTCTGCAGGACACAGAAAAATGACTGATAAACTGCCAATGCAGGCGGACAGTTTAAAATTTCCTGCTTTGCTAAGAAGTCTTCCAGACACACTATGGCCTATGGGCTGAAGATGGATGCCCCAATGTTACAGAGGAACTTTGGGTGACTGTCCAGGTAGCAAGATGTCTCTGTCAGTTCTAGGGTTTATATATTATCCTTCTGTGGTCTTTGATAGAGTTGAAGACAGATAGATATATTATAGTTTTCCTTAGTTATGATGAAAGATAAGCTACATGGGGCTGGAGAGATGGCTCAGAGGTTAAGAGCACTGACTGCTCTTCCAGAAGTCCTGAGTTCAATTCCCAGCAACCACATGGTGGCTCACAGCCATCCGTAATGAGATCTGGTGCCCTCTTCTGGTGTGCAGACATACATGAGGCAAGATGTTGTTGTATTCATAATAAATAAATAAATATTTTAAAAAAAGATAAGCTACATATAAGACTTTAGACTTATACAGATAGGATGGATGATAAAATACTTTCTTTAAATATTACTAAATGTTGATGGACTAAATAGTGTAACTATAGTTCTTATTTGATAATTGTTCTGTTATATATAATTTGACTATGTTAAAGTTAAAACCTTTCTTTTTATTTAGACAGAAAAGAGGAGATGATGGGGGAAGTCCTTTTTTGGATATGTTGTATTATTGGATGATTAAATAAAGCTCTGTTGGCCAATAGGGAATTAAGATAGGTAGAACTAGATGTTGAGGAGGATTCTGGGAAATAGAGACACAGTCAGTCACGATGTAGAACACCAAAGGAGTCAGGGCCCTTTCTCCGTTAAAAGAAGACCACGCGGAAATACTCAGATTAGCAGTTATGGGTTAATAATTAAGATAGAGCTAGCCAATAAGAAACCAAGCAAGTAGCCAACAGCTTCATTAAAAAAAAAAAAAAAAAAAACAGAAGCCTGAACTCTTGAGGTTTTAGTCTTAAGATCATCACGTAACTTCAACATCCATTTTCTTCTGAGTCTGAGACCTGGTTTCCTCTTCCCAGCTTCTTTTTAACTTTCTTTCTGGTTTTTCTCTCTTTCTAATTGCTCCCTCAGATTGTTTGAATTTGTTATTGTTCTCTTTGTTTAACTGTATCCAGCTAAGTCTTGCCCTTTCAAAGGTTACACAGTTGTTTTGTTTTTTTTGAAGTTCTCAAGTTGCATACTTCTATTCACTTACAGGATTTCTATGTGAAAAGGCAAGAAAGTGGACTTGAAATGTTAACATTCTACAGTATAAGGAAATGTTTTACGATTTCACTGTATTTTGAAAATGCTTTGCTTTTCAGTAACATTCCATAATATCGCTGAGTACTTTTTAGAGTAATCAAGTTTCTTTCCATTGTTTCTTTAGTCCGAGGATCAGAAGGACTGTACATGGTGAATGGACCACCACACTTTACAGAAAGCACAGTGCTTCCAAGGTATAGCTTCTGTCAAATGATAAATAAGAAACATATAATGCACTCCAAAGGATTTTTGTTGATATTTCTGAAAATGTTTTAATTTTTGTGTGTGCCTATGCAACACTTGTGTGTGTGTGTGTGTGTGTGTGTGTGTGTGTGTGTGTGTGTGTGTGTGTGGTGTCCATGGAATCAGAGGAGGGTGCTGTGTACTCTGGAACTAGAGCTACAGGTAGTTGTGAGCTGCCAAGTGGATGCTGGAAGTAAAGCTCGCTCCTAATTGTAGAACCATCTCTCAGTCCACTGAACAGAAAGAAAAGCAATAGATAAGCCAGTTTCTTGTGATTTCTTATTTAAAAAGTTTCCATTCTTGTTACTTATTTAGTCAAGAAAAATAATCTTCAGATTTGAAAATCAACAACTTAGGATCTAGAGAGATGTCTCAGTAATTAAGGATACATACTGCTCCTCCAGAGGATCCAAGTTAGGTTCCCAGTACCCACATCATGAGGCTCACATTACCCGTAATTCTAACTCCAGTGGATGAAACACCATCTTCTGACTTGCATGGGTATATGCTGCATGTGCATGCCTTAAAAAAAAAATAGAAAAGAAAGAAGAGGACAAAGAATTAATGGCTTAGCAAGGAAAAGTAGAGTTGTCAGTGTAATTTAGTTTGGAAAAGTTTCATCTTCTAGACTGAGAAAAATTTACAAATATGATAGTTAAGTCACTGTTAGTAATCACTATGCTGCCAGGAGATGAAAATGGCATAAAAAGGAAGAAAGTAAAATATATGTGGATACTATGTATCTGAATAGGTATATTTTTCTTTCAAAGAAACTATGGATGGTTAAAATAAAATTGAGTAAAAATGATAACTTGTAACACATGACAACATAATAGGATTCAGGAGATATCTGTGAATGAACTTTGCTATACATATGGTTTTTACGTTGGTCTATATAAATTTTTAAATAATAAAATTGGATAAGAATAGAGTAGAATAGCAGTATGATCTTATGAAGATCTGCAAAATTATTGAATGCACTCAGCAATGTTATTGTGAGCTAAAAATTGTTGCTACTTGAAGCTATTGAAAGAGTAATTCTGCTACTTTTATGTTGGTATGACCTAATATTTGAGTAAACGAAGGAGTTTGTTTGGGTTCCAGTCAGGCGTTGACTAGTCACTTGCACTTGGGCCGAATATAAACATGGCAGGTTGCAGAGGAGGTTCTTCACATAATGTAGGCCAGGGCACGCTGTAGCCCCCGTGGACATATGCCCTCTAGTCGCCTGTGGGCCAACTAGAGTCTGTCTTCCACAGTTTGACCACCTTCCAATAGTCTGTTCACATTTTGAGTCTCTCAGTAGATCAAGCCATTCATTAGATGATAGTCCTCATGTAGACAGAATTGTCTTTGGGCCGCCAACTCACAAAAAGCAGCATGGAGTCTTATTAATTATGAAAGGTCGGCCTATAGTTTAGGCTTGTCCCACAATCTCTTGTAACTTAAATTGATCCATTTCTATTCCTTTACATGTTGGCACATGAATTGTGGCTTTTACCTCTCCTACATGTCTGTTCCCTTTGTGTCCGCTGGCGACTCTGCTTTCTTTCCGTCATTCTTTCTGCCCTGAAAGTCCTGCCTAGCTATTGGCCATTTAGTTTTTATTAATCAATCACAGTGACATACCTTTACACAGTGTGAAGATATATTCCACAACATTTCTCCCTTTTTGTCTAAATAGAAAGGAAAGTTTTTGTTTTTACGAGACAGGGTTTCTCTGTGGCTTCGGAGGCTGTCCTGGAACTCGCTCTGTAGACCAGGCTGGCCTCGAACTCACAGAGATCCGCCTGCCTCTGCCTCCCGAGTGCTGGGATTAAAGGCATGCGCCACCACCTCCCGGCTTTTTTTTCCTTTGGAAGTTTTTTATTTAAAAAATTGTATTGACTGGGCAGCCCCGTATCTTTAACCCAGGAGTCAGAGGCAGGCAGATTTAGCCAGCCTGGGTTACATAGTGTGCTCCAGAGTAGCTAGCGCAAAATAGCGAGACTGTCTCCAAAAAATAGGTTATACATGTGCATAATGTATACGCAATCTATTATTATATATTTGTAAGGAGAATAACCACATTTTCCCGTTTGCCAAGATTAAGAAAAGAATTAATGGATGAAGAGATGGAGCAGTGTTTAAGAGGACCATGGTTCCCCTCCCAGTACCCATACATCAGCTCACCACCTGCTGGGTCTCTTCTGGCTTCCCCAGGCTCTGCATGCATAGACAAAACACTCATACGAATAAAACAAAAATAAATTAAATCTCAACAATAGCAAAAAGAATTGGTCTCTGGATTCCATAAAATTGACATCAGTCCTAAACACAGTTCTAACACGAGTTATTAAAATATTGTTTGTGAGGTGGGCATGGTGGTGTGTGCCTTTCATTTCAGCATCTGTGACGCAGGTGGATCTCTCAGCCAGCCTGGTCTATAGAGCAACTCCCAGGACAGCCAGGGCTGCACAGGGAAACCTTGTGCCATAAAACAAACAAACAGATGCTATTTATAACCATCGAGATATGGGTATGATTATGGAGTCAAAATGAGGTAGGCACATATGAGTTGGTTGGAATAGACTATAACCTGGGAGGAATTATTAAGAATAGAAATTTTCTGTCTTCAGGTTTGAGAATGAGTTGTACTATAGTAAGGCAAGAAACATCTTGTTCATATCTGTTTTTGTGGAAAAGATATTTTGTTAAGTTTCATTGTCTGTAAAATGAATATAAGTTACCATTATTTAATGAAGCAGAAGAAAAAAATCTTAAGATAAATTAATGATGTGTGGTTTAAATGGGGATATTGGTCAGTTCTTGGTACATTTGTTGCTACTCAGCAATTGAAATACTTGTTTGCTACAAAGTTCCCCCCTTAATGTCACTGCACCAGTAGATATGTACATGTATACTCACACACATTTCTGTCTGGCTAGGTCTTTGTTGTTACTAGATACATTCACAGTGGCTGTCTCCAGGAGAGTGTTGTAATACTTACATAGTTTTGATTTCTTGGTAGAATGTTGACACTAGTCATATTTCCACAGATGATAATTCAGAAGTCTGCATCACCATTTCCTAAGATCTTTGTATTGTTTTTATACGTTAAGCCTCCACTGGGGAAACTGGTGGCATAGCTTCATCTTTCAAATCCAGGGACCTTTTAGTCCTTGAGGGTATTCTGTCCACTACGGTTTTGTTATGCAGATAGTGTGGGGCCAGTCTCTACAAAGCCTCTGACTGCAGCCCTCAGCTTGCTCAGAGGTGACAGCTAATAACTCTCAAATTCAGTTTCATTGTTTTGCTTCTTTGGTCACTTTCTTGGTGTTCTGTTGCTGTGAAGAGATACCATGGCCATGGCAACTCTTAGAAATCACTTAATTGGGGCTAGCTTACAGTTCAGAGGTTTAGTCCGTTATCATTATGGTGGGAGGCAAGGTGGTGTGCAGGCAGACATGTTCTGGAGACAGGGACTGAGAGTTCCACATCTGGATCCATAGGTAGGTAGCAGGAAGAGAGTGCAGCTGGTCCTGGCTTGAGCTTTTGAAACCCCAAAGCCCATCCCCAGTGACATGTTTTCTCCACGAGGCACACCTAATCTTTCTCCCCCATGATTAAATGTTCAAATCCATGAGCCTATGGGGGTCATTCTCATTCAAACCACTCATCAAAAAATGATCCATTTCTGAAGGTTTGTGATTGTATAAAACCAGTTTCCATCATACTTTACAATGGTTGCTAACATTTATTATTAAGAGATGAAGTATTTAAATAGACAAACATTTTTGGAATGTTTTAAAAATTTTGTATAATAAATTAAGTCATTGAATTAATGGCTTGTAGACTTTTCAATCAGATTTTTTGAAAAGTATGATTATTAATGTCTTTTAATTTAAACTTTTTTTTCAGGGAATCTGGAAAAAATTGCAAAGTCTACACATTTAGTAAGGATGGGACATTGTTTGCCTGGAACAATGGAGAAAAGTTAGTATTCATTTATGGAAAATTTTATGTGTACCATGAATATTCTATAGCTGACATGATTTGAAATGCATGTATTAGGTTATCATTGATAAAGTCTGTCTTTTATTGTCATGTGTAGTGAGAGTACTTTGAACACCCTCAAAAGTGTTCATATATATGAGTTATGTAGTGACTCAAAATTAAAAATTACTGTGAAAAATCAAAAAGTTATTTCAAATAGTATTCTAAGTCATTGGTAGGGTTTCTTAAATTTGCTAGTATCATTTAGAAAATAATTATTGTTTTGCTTGTTTAGACTTAGATACTTCATAATTTTGCTGTTAAATCAGTAAATTAGTACTGTTAGTTTTATTGTATATAAAGTATAGAAAGAATGATTTGCATAACTTATGTAAACTATCAGATTACAAAACTGGTCTTATAAGAAAATAATGATTTTCAATAAATGGTCATAGTTTTCTAAAAACCTGTCCCTTTTTTTTTTTTTTTTTTTTTCCGAGACAGGGTTTCTCTGTGGCTTTGGAGGCTGTCCTGGAACTTACTTTGTAGACCAGGCTGTCCTCGAACTCACAGAGGTCCGCCTGCATCTCCTGAGAGCTGGGATTAAAGGCGTGTGCCACCAACGCCCGGCTCCTTTTTAATATTTTACAGTGACAATATTTCGCAGATCAATATAATGTCTGAATATCTGTTACTTATTTTTCTTTTGATGTTTCAAACATGTTATACTGTTAGGCTTTTCAAAAGAGAAAAATAATTCATTAATCTGATAATAATGAATTTAAAAGTTCTTTATAGTGGTAATATATTCAGAATCTTTCTGAAAGTCAGTTATAACATGATTTTTAAAAATTACCTGTTAAAGACTGAGTTAAATTAGTTGATTTGCATCTATTTTCTAACCAATAAAATACTTGCAAATCATGAACAATATAATCACATTGAATCTTAGCCACAATGTTAAATTTTTTTGTTTTGTTTTTGAGACAGGGTCTCTCTACCTAGCCCTGGCTGTGCTCATATTTATTCACTGTTTAAATCAGGCTGGCCTGGAACTCACAGAGATCCACCTGCCTCTGTCTCCTGAGGGCTGGGACTAAAGTTTATAAGTAAGAGGCTGATGAAATCAACTCATTTGATTTTTTAAAGTCTAAATATATTTATTTGTAAAATAGAGGTGATGATGCTTGCCAGGATCCATATGAGAGGTTCACCGAAGGTGGTGAGGCCACTGCATGACTCTGTGCAGGAGGTATGCAGTGTGGGCAGCATGAAGCAACTGCTATCATGTGACTTCGCTGTCATTCTTAGTAGGTGACAGCTCTCGAGAGCCTACCAGGCTTGCTTACTGATTTCCCACCTGTTTTGGTTTCTATGTATTCAAAGTTAAGATGTGCTTCTCCATTCTGCCTGCCTTCCCTCTGACTTGCTGGCCTCCTGTAGCCTGGCCATGGGATCACTCAGGTGGAAGTCATATCACTTCTGGGTCTGTCTGCTAATTGGGCACTATTTCTCAATACTTTTGGCGTAAAATTTACATTTTTCTATAAGTTAAAAGTGTTTCCTGCCAGGCTGGACCGACAGCCTCCAAAACAATACAGAGAAACCCTGTCTGGTAAATACGTGTTTTTTGGAACTGCCTGAAAAGTAGTTTTTATGAAAAGTGAATGATTTGGAGTATTCTATATTTGAAAAGGGGCATGAATGTTTTGGTTAGTGCTGGCTGTTATAAAATGGTATCTTTGCTGATGTAATTTCTTTTGAAACCAGAGTAAATATAATCAGTGTCACTAACAAGGGACTACTGCACTCCTTCGACGTCCCAAAAGCAGTTTGCCTTGAATTCTCGCCAAACAACACTGTCCTGGCAACGTGGCAGCCTTACACTGGTAAGTACTTCCCCGTGTAAAGGTGCTCTAGCAGGACCAGTTAGGTTTTGTGGGGAAGCCAGGTTTATAACCCTGTAAGGTGGTGATTTGAGGTCAAGCAGGCACCCCCCACCTCCCCACAGGGATCTGATCTTAGTGCGTACCTGAGACAGCCTTTAAGTGGTCTCAGTTCAAGTAGCTTGGGCTGCCCTCAAACTCTGCAGCCACGGGTGACCTTGAACTTCTGGTCTGCTGTCTACGCCACTGGATGCTGAGGTCTCGGGTGTATACCGCCGTGCCCCATCCGTGTGGGGCTGGAGACCAAACCCAGGGCATCATGTGTGCTAGGTAAGCACCCTACCAGCTGAGGGCCACCCACAGCCCAGCCCTTTCATCTTAGCCAAGTGCTTACTGTACTATGACTGCAACTTTTGGCTGTTAGGGTTTCACAGAAAAAGTCACAAAAATTCTGTTCAATTTCATGTATAGAAGATTCATCTGTAATCATGCAGTGTTTTCTTATATGAGATGAGAACTTTCACCTTTCACTCTAAGGAAGCTCTTTGTAGCTTCCTTATCCAAATTGCTAGTATCACTGCTTTTATGTTCTACTCATTAAGTAAAATGAAGGTTACTTGCAGGCACTGTGTCCTCTGCAGTAAGTATAACAAGCACGGAGACTCCTGGGAGGGTAGAAGAATGTGGGTGTAGATGGATAGATTCACTGGCCACAAAGATGATTAACCAGGCAGGTGCATCTCTGTGAACGCAAGGCTAGTCTGGCCGACAACGTGTGTTCCAGGACAGCCAGAGATACATAGTGAGACTTTGCTTCAAAATAAGTAAATAAACAAGCAAACAAAGTTTTTTTCAAAGATGATGCATTAAAAAGAAAGACCTGTGTTCCAGTTAGACAGAATGGGATGGCTCAGCGTTTCACCCTCAAGATGGTGTGCAATTTAAAATTAGTGAGTTGTCTCTGGAACTCGACTGCTAATGCTTTTTGGGTCATGGTTGACTGCAAATAACATACCTCAAGAAGTAGCCGGGCGTTGGTGGCGCACGCCTTTAATCCCAGCACTCGGGAGGCAGAGGCAGGCGGATCTCTGTGAGTTCGAGGCCAGCCTGGTCTACAGAGTGAGTTCCAGGACAGCCTCCAAAACAATGCAGAGAAACCCTGTCTCGAAAAACCAAAAAAAAAAAAAAAAAAAAAAACATACCTCAAGAAGTAAAGCTGGGCATTGGTGGCGCACGCCTTTAATCCCAGCACTCGGGACACTCGGGAGGCAGAGGCAGGTGGATCTCTGTGAGGTCGAGGCCTGTCTGGTCCGAAAGTCTCCAAAACAATACAGAGAAACCCTGTCTCGTAAAAACAAAACAACAACAAAAAAAAGAAGTAAAGTAAAAATACAAGTTATGAGATAAAGGAGAAGAAAAGCTGCAGAAGAAAGTTTAAAAAGTGACTGACTGCTGACTAGAAAAGTTCTCTAGAGGTCTGGGGTAATAGTGATTTAACCAGCATTGAGAATAACTGCTATCAGGGAAGGCAGTGTGGCAGGGTATGACATGGAGAAGTGTTGTTATCACAGAGTGTGGTGTGCAGGCCTGTGACTCCAGTCCTCTTGGGAGACTGACACAGGATGAGTCTAGGTAGAAAACGAAAAGCATAGCAGCAGTGCCCTCTTTGACATATTTAAAGCCATCTAATGGTAATGACATATGAACTGTCATATAGCCATGCTTATCCAGACAGACATAGAGAGTGGTATAAAGGCTGTTTTCAGAACATTCTATTAGAGGCTGGATGTAACCCAGTTGATACAGTGCTTGCCAGCATTCGTAAGGCCTAGGTTTAATCCCTATACTACATAGACTGGGTGAGGTATCACAAGCCTGTAATTCTGAGGTATCACAGCCTCAGAACCTGTAGTTCAAGGTCACTCTCAGCTACACAGAAATTTGAGGTCAGTCTAGGATATATATGACCCTGTCTCATTAAAAAAAAAGAGGAAGGAAGGAGGGAGGGAAGCATTCTGTGACAATGACATTCTTTTTAAATAAATAAGTGATGATATAGTTCATTGTTGTGTTATAAACCTCAGGGTTTTATTTTAAGAGGGTTGGACTCTAATGAATCTTGTTTTTCTAGTAACTTGAAGGGAAATCAAGAATCATAATGATAGGTACAAACCTTCATGACTTAATCCCTTTGTCAGAAATTAATAAATTTGTCAGAATTAATAAATAAGAAATCCCTCAAGTATTCTTAAAATTTATAAGCTAGCCGGGCGGTGGTGGTGCACGCCTTTAATCCCAGCACTCGGGAGGCAGAGGCAGGCGGGTCTCTGTGAGTTTGAGGCTGGGCTGGACCGACAGCCTCTAAAACAATACAGAGAAACCCTGTCTAGTAAAAACCAAAAAAGAAAAGAAAAGAAAACTTACAAGCTATCATTTCAGAGGTGGACTTTAACTCAAAAACTGTCATGTTATGGTTTTAGCAATGAATGAATAATTTCATAATTAAAGATAGGAAGGAAAGTTGAGTTTAGACAGTTCTTTTATTTAGTATTCTTATTCCTATTCAAGATTTTTGTAAGAATGAAATCTTACAAGTGTTAGAAGACAGTCACTATAAAAATATTTTTATTGCAGCTTCCAAAGATGGCACAGCAGGGGTACCCAACCTACAGCTTTATGACGTGAAAACTGGGACATGTTTGAAATCTTTCATACAGAAAAAAATGCAAAACTGGTAAATACATGCTTTAAAGTGCTGTTGTTGGAAAGTTTTACATTTACTTTAAGAGTGCGTTGCCTGCCTGTGTGTTTGTGCACCATATGTGTGCCTGGTGGCCTTGGGGGTGGGAAGACATCAGGTCTTCTGGAAGGAGATTACAGACGACGCTAACTGCTGATGGGTGCTAGAAAATGAACCCTGGTTCAAGAGCTCTTGACGCTGAGCTGTCTCTTCAGCCTGTCATCTCCCCATCCAGAACAGGGTAGCTTCACAGTGTTGCTAATGCCACTGTACGCATTTGTTTCTCTAGAGTTTACTTTGAAGATAAATTATTCTAAAGGTTCAAGAGCTCTCGACGCTGAGCTGTCTCTTCAGCCTGTCATCGCCCCATCCAGAACAGGGTAGCTTCACAGTGTTGCTAATGCCACTGTACGCATTTGTTTCTCTAGAGTTTACTTTGAAGATAAATTATTCTAAAGGGTTTATAGTATAATACTATCTCTATTAGTTTTTAAAAAGAAGGGAACAATATATTTTTAAAGACATACCATTTAATAAGATTATTATTAAACTGTTTATACAGACATAACATGTTTTATCTTAAATACCATCATAGCTTTTTAACATGGTTTTACCTTTTCCCAATTTTCTTTCTTTTGGCGTAGGTGTCCTTCCTGGTCAGATGATGAAATTATTTGTGCGCGAAACGTTAACAATGAAGTTCACTTCTTCGAAAACAACAATTTTAGTATGGAAAGACTAAAGAACTTTACTTACTTTAAATAGTTTTCAAAGGTTTTTGTTTGTCTTCAGTGCTAAGATTCTTTTCCAGGTTTTCATACATGGTAGCCAAGTGCTCAACCACAAGCTATCCCTAATCTAATATATAGTTTTCTTTTCCTCAGTGGCATTATAGGGTCAGAATCATTCTAAATATTATTGATTTATTTATCCCATTAACTAGGGTAATACTATTACATATTAACATGGATTTTCATTGATGAAGATAGGGTAATCAGTGTCAGCACTCTTATTTGTATTTGTCATAGAATTTCTATATGTACATTGTACACTAGCAAGCCGAGGCTAGTCTTTCCCATCTAATGGGGTCTATGAATTCTTTAATATAAAGATTGGCATTTATTGGAGCATATACCATGTGCTTGGCATTGTGTTTTTACAATCAATCCCTGGGAAGTAGGTGGCATAATTAGAGTCATCTTCGTACTTGCCCAAGTTTATACTCCCAGTAAATGGGTTAATGTGGTTCAAGCCTATTTCTGTCTGGAATGCTCTGCTTCATCCACACGAAACTACAGTGAATAGTTTGTAGTTAACCATAACCTTTTATAGTGAATTCAGAGTTTGATGTAAAACACATCAATCTCTAACCCATTTCCTCTTTTTTAGACACAATTGCAAATAAATTACATCTGCAAAAGGTTAATGACTTTAATTTATCACCTGGAAGCCAACCTTATAAGGTAATTCCTGTTTTTATTTATTTATATAGAACTTGAGTCTTTTCTCTTTTTTAAAAGTAATTCTGAGAACATCCATCTCAGCTCTTTTGCTTATAAGAATTAAGTCATGACTTATGCATGTGTGTCTTAGGTGGCAGTCTATGTCCCAGGAAGTAAAGGGGCACCTTCATTTGTTAGATTATATCAGTACCCCAACTTTGCTGGACCTCAGGCAGCGCTGGCCAACAAAAGCTTCTTCAAAGCTGACAAGGTTACAATGCTGTGGAATAAAAAAGGTATGATGAATAATTGTTCATTTTTGTTATCGAATATTAATTTTGGCATTCATATATATAAAGGAATATGTAGATTAACTGGATTTTGAATCTAATTGAATACTGTTTCACTGTTACAGCTACTGCTGTGCTGGTAATAGCTAGTACAGATGTTGACAAGACAGGAGCGTCCTACTATGGAGAACAAACCCTGCACTACATTGCAACAAATGGAGAGAGTGCTGTAGTCCAATTACGTGAGTACATGCACACCCTAACAGTTGTCCTGTGGTTAAAATCACACACACACACACACACACACACACACACACACACACGCACACAGACACGCACGCACACAGACACGCACACACAGACGCACATGCACGCACACACACACAGACACAGACAACAAATGGAGAGAGTGCTGTAGTCCAGTTACGTGAGTACATGCACACCCTAACAGTTGTCCTGTGGTTAAAATCACACACACACACACACACACACACACACACACACACACACACACACATGCACACGCACACGCACATGCACACACACAGACAGACACAGACACGCACGCGCACACACGTACACCATGAAGGTAATACAACTTAAATTCTTGATTCAGGGCTTCTCTGTGTAACAGCTTGGCTGTTCTGTAACTCTCAGGGCCTTGAACTCACAGAGATCCGCCTGCCTCTGCCTTCCCAGAGTGCTGCAATTAAAGACATGGGCCAGCACAGTCTAAATTATATTTTTTTCCCACAAGGTGAAATGAGCCTTTATTAGGAGGAGGCAGGGGTGTGTCTGTGGAACAACGGTTTAAATTAGAGTCTCTAACTGTACTGTGTCAAGGGAAGCCGGGGCTGGTTGGGACCCGACAGCGACCAGGCTCTGCAGATGAGCAGCAGGTGGCCCTGGCCAGGCTGGACACACAGCGCTGCTTCTGCCTTTCACCATGAAACCAATTTTTTAAGAGGAGCAGGTGGGGAACAAAATAAAAACTAAAGTGGACCTGGCCTTTTCAAGACGTCACTGTGGGCTCAGTTGTTGTTGGAAGTGAACCCTGCGGACCCTAGGCCCCTGTAGGGGTTCTGTTTGCATCTATCTGGGTGCCTCTTGGGCGCCTTGAAATTGTGTCCATCAAAATGAAGAGGAAAAGGAAAGAAATTTTAATAAACCACAAAAATAACTCAGCAGCCAGCAGCCAACTCTCGTTCCAGCACAGTAGACCCAGTGACCCTCTGGAACCTCGAGGGTCTGGCCGAACCTGGGCTGCGATTCATTCTGCTAAGAGTGGAAGCCAGGGGCTGCAGCGAGCAGCAGTAGCTTCGCACTGCCCAGCAGGGACCTGAGTCCGTCATCATCATGGGTAAAACCGAATTCCATGATGGCGTTTCTCAGCCGACTTTGACAGACACCAGCCAGTGTGCCTGCCTGCCAGCACCGAGCAGGGGCGGAGCCTCTGAGCAACTCTGTGAGCACTCACTACTCCAGCAAGTGGCTGGAGCAGCTTTAGCGAGAGCTGCAGATGAGAGGGAAGTCCAGCAGCGGCGCCAGTTCACTCTCGCTTGGATCACTAAAGCAACTTTACTAAACGTTTTCTTAGGCTTTGTATCTTACTATCTTATGGGTCTTGAGTGTGTCTGCACACTGCATACCTATAGCCCAAGAAGGTCAGAAGAGGGCACGGGATCCCCTGCAGCTGGAGTTAAGGTTGGTTGGGAGCTGCCAGTGGGTGCTGGCGTTGAACTCTGCTTCTCCACAAGAGAAGAAGTCACTCTTAACTGCTGAGTCGACTCTCCAGCCCAAAATAATAGATTTCAACTTCTGTCAGCTCCCTAATTTTTTTACTTTGAATTGAACATGTGTCAGTAGAGGAAATATTTCACACTTTCCCCTCCAATATATCTATACTCCCCTTGAAATAAGAGTTAGACAGAGACTGAAATACCAAGCAAGTATGGCAGATCTAGAGAAGGTGACACTGAGTTTGTGTCTGGGTATAAATGAAGTCACAGGATAGACAACAGCCATCCAAACATAGTAAGACATACCAGCTTAAAAGCCTCAGATAAACTCTAAATTTTAATAAATAAACTTTTATAAATGATAGCATCTCTCTCATAGTTAACCTAAAATTTAACATTTTCATGCCAATCAGGGCTTTTTTAAATTAGATAAACTGGTCTGAAATGTGGTAATAAAAAGAACACATAAGAGTATTTTGAAAACTATTAGGAGGACGTGGGAAATTCTGATACTACACGATGCTAAAATGTAATAAGAGTATTTGGATTTGGCCTATGGAAAAGTAATGTGTGTGTAAAATAAAAGTATCTAGAAATAGATCTGTGTATTTGTAGATACTAGTGTATGATAAAATTCAGACTTAACAGTAAAGCCAAGTAGTGGTGATGCATGCCTTTAACCCCAACATTTGGGAGGCAGAGGCAAGAAGATCTCTGTGAGTTAAAGGACAGCCTGGTCTACAAAGTGAGCTCTAAGACAACCAGGACTACAAAGAGAACCCTTATCTTTTCTGAAAAACAAAAAACCAAACAAGTAAAGCAAAAACAATGAATAGTATTTAATTTGTGGTTCTTTAAAAAATTGGCTGATCTTCCCCTTTATGGTTGCCAAGTAACAACCACTGCTCTATGTGTCAGTGTTGAGGGAGGAAGGAAGTGGCAGAATCCCCTCTGGGGCGTCACAAGTGTGGTCATACACAGCTATGCAGGCAGGTCGTAAAAGCAAGTTTTTAGAATTCAATAAAACTTTCAAATCCATTAACTTGACTTTTTTTTTTTTTTTCGAGACAGGGTCTCTGTTAACTTGACTTTCTTAACAATGCCATGTAAAACAAACTAAGAAAATTTTTTTTCTTGAAAGATAGATGTATAAGTAAGTTGTTGCATTAAGGGAAAATATGTCCACATGCACAAATTAAGTAGGGCAGGAATAAATATGCTATAGAAACGGGAAGAAAAAAAGAAAGAAAAAAAATTGACTGATCATTTGGATCATAAAATTGTTATTTCATTTTACCAAAATAAATTCCACTTGGCTCTCAAAATTATATGCAAAACTTCAGAGGAACTCTTAAAAAAGAAAACATGAGAAAACCCTTTTCTAATCTTAGAATTGAAAAAAGCATTTTCTAAGCAAGACAAAAATCCTAAGAGGAAAAATATTATAGATTTGTAATGTATAAAAAAATTATAGGTTTCTGCTAGAAGAATCTATTAACTTAGCTAAATAGAAGTTTTTGTTTTGTTAATCTGACAAGGTTGAGGATAGTAATGAATGCCTTTAACCCAATATTTAGAAGATGGAGGTGGGCCAGAGACTCAAGGTCATCTTCACTAACATAGTGAGTTCCAGTCTAGCTTGAATTACAAGAGACCCCGTCCCAACTGTTCCCCCAGCCAAAAAAAAAGAAGAAAAAAAAAACCCCAAAATAACAAAGGATAAAAAGCAGACGAGTGATGTAAGGCCATAAGAAAAGGTAAGCTTTCTTAATTTCCCAAGTTACCTAAATGCTTCAATAACGGGAAAGAAAAATGGGAATGGTACAGAAAGTTTTCCTACCAGAAAACAAACGAAATTGCTTTTGTTAGAAGAGAACAGTAATCAGACAAATGGAAATAACCCTAAGTCACAGGTTTAACCTAACAGGTGGGAAAGGTAAAAATAACTGCTGTGGTGTGAATGGGAGGAGACTCCTGTCCCCCGGGGGTGCGGCCGCCTCACAGAACACTGAAGCGCAGTGAGGGTGCGATGCCAGGTTATTAACCTCGCAGCCGCGCTCCTACATGCCTGTCTACACACGGAGAAACGGACTCAGAGGCAGAGGGAGAGGCGGATTTTTATGTGATCACGTAGAAAAGTCTCCAAAATACGATACTAAATGAAATAACAAAAGCTTAGAACCTTGTCATTTTTTTGTCTTTAGAGAAGATGCTTCATTTCAAGAAAATACTCTGTAAAAGGATTGTCGAGAAATGAAATGGGTTGCTTTGATAAATACATTTTTTTGTGGCATGTGTTTTTATATTGTTTGCATTTATATATTGTATGGCAATGTGCTGATATTATTCATTCCAAAAAAACAAAAGCCTGTTGCTGGACATAGTAGTCTGCACCTGTTGCTGCATTCTAGCATTTGGAGCTAGGAGGGTCATCTGGATTCAGGAATTTGACTAGCATGGATATCCTAGCAAAACCTCAATAAAACTCTTTTATTTCTAGTAATAAAGTATTACTGTAAGTCTATGTTGGCTTCCATGAGCCCATATTACCAAAGTGTTTAAGATACTAAAACTCTGGGAGTTCTTAAATATATGACTATGTATTAATACTCATATCCCATAAGAATATTTAATTTTTGAAGTTTGAAAAGATGTTTGACATGCTTCTGAGTTACATATGTTTGTATCTTGTAATATTTATATAAGTTTTTTACTGTTGATTTGTATCTTATATTCTTTTTCTAGCAAAAAATGGCCCAATTTATGATGTGGTTTGGAATTCTAGCTCTACTGAGTTTTGTGCCGTTTATGGTTTTATGCCTGCGAAAGCAACGGTTTTCAACCTGAAGTGTGATCCTGTTTTTGACTTTGGGACTGGTCCTCGCAATGCAGCCTTCTATAGCCCTCATGGACATATATTAGTACTGGCTGGATTTGGAAATCTTCGAGGACAAATGGAAGTATGGGATGTTAAAAACTACAAACTGATTTCTAAACCAGTGGCCTCCGATTCTACATACTTTGCCTGGTGTCCAGATGGTGAGCATATTTTAACAGCCACATGTGCCCCCAGGTTGCGTGTTAATAACGGGTATAAGGTCTGGCACTACACCGGCTCCATCTTGCATAAGTATGATGTGCCATCAAACGGAGAATTATGGCAGGTCTCTTGGCAGCCATTTTTGGATGGAGTATTTCCAGCAAAAACAATAATGTACCAAGCAGTTCCAAGTGAAGTACCTAGTGAGGAACCTAAACCTGCAACAGCGTATAGACCTCCAGCCTTAAGAAATAAGCCCGCCACCAATTCTAAGCTGGTAAGTAGTAGCACAGAGGAAAGTGATTTTGTGTGAAACTCTGTGGACTTTCCCTCATTGCTTGAGTTGCTTAGTATCAACTTAGAATATACTCCACAGAGTTCTCTAAGGCCCACAGAAAATGTAGATGCTGAGCAGCTCATACAATATATGTATGTATGTATATATACATATATATATGTTATATATGTGATATATATAATAAGCTGGGTAAACAGTTAATTTAAAGGGACTTACAGTTTTAAAACATTTTTTTACTGAATTTCACACACACGCAGTGAAATATCATATCTTTGCTCTATCTCCCCACCCAACTACCCTCATGTTTCCCTCTAAAATTCATGTCTTTTTTTAAAAATAGCCCTCTATGCCATTTAGTACTATCCATACATGCATGGGTGTGGGACCATCTGTTGGCAAAAGGGAGGCTACCGGTGGCCATGTCCTTAAAAACCATGCTTCTGCTTCCCTGACAACTGTCACTCACCAGCAATTCTTCGGTAAGGGCTGTAGCCTAGAAATCATCCATCCGATCTGTCAGGGTTTGCCTGCCTTGAGGTTGTGCGGGTTACCCCAGCTGCTGTGAGTTCCTGAGTGCAGTGTCCATGTCCTAACCAGAAGTCAGCCTTGTTCGGCACGCCTCCCCATCCTCCAGCTTTCAAGTCCTCTTCTGAAGTGCTGCCTGAGCCTTGGGGACAAGCTGGGGGTGATACCTTCTCCTCTTTGGGGCTTTCTCAGCACTTTAGCCAGAAAAAGGAGATTTCTCTGACCAGGGTTGAAAGCAGCTCAGGTGTGTGGGTATAAATATAAATGTTTAGAAGGCAATTTGACACCATGGCTATTTAGCAAAATACTAATATCAGGACTTTTGACCAGGATGTACAGTAGGCAGCATGTAGAACAAGCCTCAAATCTAATCACTGTTGCAGCAGTAGGCACATCTTGCCTGGAAGGTCAATATTGCACCATACCTACTAGGAAGACCATTGATGTCTTTCTACCCAGCAGTCTGCACAGCGCTGTCTGGTACCATGAATGTTAGCCAGCAGGGAGGAAACTTCCTGATCAGTTTGAGATTGATTTCTCTTATGTCCTACGGCCAAAGTGTGCAATGTCTTCAGCAGTAAGGTCTTGCCATGTGTTTATGACGGGTGACTTAGAGCAGTGGCAATGGTCTGTTGTTTGCATCACACTTTAATTTCTGGGAAAGATAACTCAACATGATACATTAGCTTTATGGGTCCAGGACTTCAATTCAGATGCTGATTAGGTAAGGCTGATGACATAGGGCAGTAATGAGCAGGAGGAAACCATGAGCAGCTAGCTGTTCAGCAGCAGTTCATTTCCTTAGGTGATCGTCGGTCCAGTTCATTTCCTTAGGTGATCATGGTCCAGTTCATTTTCCTTAGGTGATCATGGTCCAGTTCATTTCCTTAGGTGATCATGGTCCAGTTCATTTCCTTAGGTGATCATGGTCCAGTTCATTTCCTTAGGTGATCATGGTCCAGTTCATTTCCTTAGGTGATCGTTGGTCCAGTTCATTTCCTTAGGTGATCGTTGGTCCAGTTTGCCAGTTACTGATTTTTGAAGACACAATGCATCTGAATAGATATATGAAATTATCTCAGTTTTTAAAATACTGTCTTAGTTGGTGTTCTATTGGTGTGAAGGGACACCTTGGCCATAGCAACTCTTTCAAAAGAAAGCATTTAATTGCGTCTGGCTTACGGTTTCAGCAGTTTAGTCCCTTATTGTCATGGCAGGAAGCATAGCAGTGCGCAGACACGTGCTGGAGAAGGATCCTCAGGCAGCCGGAAGAGAGAGGCGGAGGCAGACACCAACAGAGACACTTGGCCTGGCTTGGGCTTCTGAAATCTCAAAGCCCACCCCAGCAACACACTTTCTTCAACAATAAGGCCACTCCTCCTAGTCCTTCCCAAGGAGTGCTCTTCCCTGATGACTAAGCGTTCAACATGAGCCTGTGGGGCCATTCTTCAAACTACCACACACACTGTTGTTTTGTAAAAACATTTATTGTCCTCTTACCATTAGTTCCTCACCTTTCCTGAGGGTTGGTTAGATTCACATGGACTTTCAGACTGTATTTCAGAGCTCAGGAGAGCATTGCTCAGTGGTCTGAGTTTCTGTGAAGTGATTAATAGTAAAGGACATCTGAGTGTGAGCTCCGTGTTCTTCAGGGTGTTAGAAAAGTGAAGCTGTACCCTAGCCAACAACTAGGAATGTTCATTTCAAAGGGGCTGAATAAACTAGTAATAAGATGCCCCGAGAATTAGAGAACACTTTCAAAGAATGAAACTTCTTATCCTGTTCCTGGCTTGCATAAAAAGAAAACACCCTTCTTACGTGACTAAAACATTCTTAAAGCCTCTCAAATCCCATTAGTCTGTTTCAACAATGCTTAGCCTTTCAACGTCGGACTTTCCCAGTAAAGGGCTGTAACCTGATTCTTGTTGTGAAGAAAACAAATGAGGTCACTGCTTCCTAATGGTATTATTCACACCAAAAAGACCCCAGAGAAGCAGTTTTTACTCAGTTGCATAAGAACTACATGTCTAGCATTCCTGAGACAAATTTCATTGTTTCTATAGACCAAAAGTGAATCTTGCCTGGGCTTATTTAACTAGTAGATACATATCAGCTAATAGGGAGGCCCTTACTTAACTATGTTCTAGGAACAGATTTGTAATGTTCTTTGCCAGTTTTCTTAAATAATTCTGATAAAATCGTCCTGTACTAGTAAAGGTACTTAATTTGCTATTGCCTATGCTTTTCAAACCCTGAACTCCATTTCAGAAGTGCTTGTTTTACATTTCCCTTAGCATGAAGATGAACCTCCCCAGAATATGAAACCACATCCAGGAGGTGACAAGCCACTATCAAAAACAGCCCTTAAAAATCAAAGGAAGCACGAAGCTAAAAGAGCTGCCAAACAGGTATTTTTTTGTTTGCTGAGATCTTCCAAACCAAGTCAAAAACTGCTGATCTAACTTGAACCCCTAAGTCTAACGATGGTATTCCTGAAAATGTGGTTGTGATGTGAGAAGATGTACTTGGTATTAGATATAAATAGCAGGCAGCCTTCTTGTGTGCCTCCCTGTGAATTAGTATCTGTATCTATATAGTGGTAACTGTTAACATCTTTCGCTATGGTGGGGTAGCTGGGATTTTGTTTGTGTGGTTTTGTAACAGGTTCCTGTCTTGTAGTTCAGGGCTAGCCTTGAAGTCATGATCTTCCTTCCTTATTCCCTCCTGACTGTTGGGGATAAGTGTGTTCCTCTGTGTCTTAGTTCCCTCCTGACTGTTGGGATAAGTGTGTTCCTCTGTGTCTTATTCCCTCCTGACTGTTGGGATAAGTGTGTTCCTCTGTGTCTTATTCCCTCCTGACTGTTGGGATAAGTGTGTTCCTCTGTGTCTTATTTCCCTCCTGACTGTTGGGATAAGTGTGTTCCTCTGTGTCTTATTCCCTCCTGACTGTTGGGATAAGTGTGCACCACTATCTGCTTTTAGTGGTGCTAGGGACTGAATCCAGGGCTTTGCAGCTGACAGGCGGCTATCTGCGTCCGACCTGCATCTTCATCTCCTCGTAATACAGTTTCTGAGGTTGTGTCCATGATAGATTGGCCCTGTTCTTGGGATGTGGCATATAACATATCATGATGGAAACCTGTTGTGGAGCAAAACTGTTGATATGACCCAGGACACAGAGAGAAAGAGACAGGGACTGGGGTCCCTCTGGTTCTCCAAGAGCCTTCCCCAAGTAGCCTGAACCCTTCCATTAGGCCCACTTCCTCTTAGTAGCAGTACCTTGGGAACCAAACCTTTAATATGGGAATCTAAAATGATGAAAAGAAAACTCTGAAGAAAGTAGACCTGATCTTGAAACCTGAGTTGGCAGTGAGATTGTATAGCATGTTTCCTGAAGGCACATGTTTCCTTCCTCCCCTCCTTGGAGGAAGTGTTTCAACAGTTCTGACTGTTCTGGCACTAGCTCTGTAGACTAGGCTGGCCTTGAACTCACAGAGATCCGCCTGCCTCTGCCTTCTGAGTGCTGGAATTAAAGGTGTGCACCACCAACGCCCAATAGCAACAAGCATCTTTACCTACTCTGAGCCATCTCGATGGCCCGATAATGTAATTTCAAAAGTTAGAGTTGCATTATATTCTAAAATTTGAAGTTCCTTTCCACAGTTAGTATGTTACATACATGTGTGTGTGTGTGTGTATACTATATAGTTAGTATTGTCTGTCTGTCTGTCTGTCTATCTCTATCCACACATCTCTAGAAATGTGTTTTAATAGGTCAGATTCAAGTTTGACCCCTGGGACCACACAGTGGAGGGAAGGAATCAATGCCTACAGGTTGTCCTCTGACCACACGTGCTGTGGCACTTGAGGGAGTCAGGTCTCCTTCCACCACGTGGGTCCCAGGAGTTGAACTCAGGTCGTCAGGCCGGCAGCCAGCACCTTTACCCACTCCGCTGTCTCACCCACAAACAGAATAGATAAATCTTGAGATTTGTTTTTCCTGTAGGAAGCAAGAAGTGATTTGGCTCCTGCTCCCACCCCACAGAGTGAACCACGGAACACTATCACCCAGTCTGCTTCAGGTGATCCAGAAGTAGACAAAAAAATTAAGAATCTAAAGAAGGTGAGAGACTGAATGAAAAATAGATACGTGCATTAGAAGGCTTGTTCATGAGAGCTGCATAATTAACCGGGATTTAAGTTTGGTTAGCATGTGTTTCATTGTTGCTTTCCTTCCATAAAATACTATAATTTAGAAGAGGTCCCAAGTTCAGTTCCATTCACAAACGCTTTGGTGACTGAAACTGCTTATATTGTTAATTTTGAAGTAATAAGGAACCACAGACATCTGTGTAGGCAAGTCGCTTTTTATTGTTGTCCTTTCTGTGGGCTGGAGATTGAAATCAGAGCTCAGGCATGCTAAGCGAGTGCTCCTCTCTGAGCTCTGCCCAGCCCTGAACACTTCCCTCCGCTTTTCAGTGGCTCCTTTTGAGTTACCTAGGAACAGACACTAAGGGTGTGGTGGGTCAGCCCTGGGGTGAGGATTCACTGAAGTCCAGAGATGTTTTCTGCCACAGTGGAATGTTGAAACGGATGCTGAAATCTGTCTTGTTCTTGTGAATCCACGCCTGCACATAAAAACCTGCTAGGCAAACCTGAGAACCCAAGTCTGATCCCAGACCTCACCGAGAGGTGACGAGAGGGAAACCAGGCTCCAGAGTGTTCCTCCCCTCCATGTATGCTTGGCTTAGGTGCCTGTGTGCACACCCACACACAGAATAAGAAAAACATTGCAAAAACATATTTTGTCCAATCCCATGGTGTTTTGTTTGTGTGTGTGTGTGTGGCAAGTTTCTCGAGACATGGTTTCTCTGTACTTTGATGCCTGTCCTGGAATTTGCTCTTGTAGACCAGGCTGGCCTCGAGCTCAGAGATCTGCCTGGGATTAAAGGCATATGCCACCATTGCCCAGCTATTTTTATTATTTTTAAAACAATCTTATTTTACATACAAATCCCAGTTCCTTCTCCCTCCCTTCCCCTCCCCCATTTTAGCATTTTTAACTGACCTTCTTTGAAGGAAATGCAGTATGGCTGTTGTTGATAAAGTCATTTGCATTAGAAAGTAACTTTTTCTCCCTCCTCATTTGATTTCACAGAAACTAAAGGCAATAGAGCAACTGAAAGAGCAGGCAGCCTCTGGGAAACAGCTAGAGAAGAATCAGGTAAGGCCTCACTTTCCATTTGGGCTCAGTCATTGGCACCCCCATTCCCCCACCACCCGCATTTAGTATAAGCAATCATTCAGTCAGGAAAAAAGGACAGAACTGAAAAACTTATCTGGGAAACTGTTTGCAAAATTCTTTTTAATTTTCTTTTTAATATCCTTAAAAGTTTTGTCTGTGATAGGGGAAGAAGCTCAGTCCTAGGTCTTGGTGAATGAGTACAGTTCCTAAGGGGTATCCTAATGCTGTCACTGTAAAAGCAGTGACAATAGTTAGGTAAATAACACGTTTCCTCCTGTCCCTCACACCGTCCCCCTTGCCTTTTTCCTCCTGTTGTTCTCAGCACCTTTCTCCTTCCTTCCTTCCTTCCTTCCCTTCCTCTTTCCCTTCCTCCCTCCCTCTTTCTCTCCTTCCTTCCTTCCTTCCTTCCTTTCGTTTTTTTCAAGACAGGGTTTCTCTGTATTGTTTTGGAGGCTGTCTTGGAACTTCCTCTGTAGACCAGGCTGGCCTGGAACTCAGAGATCCGCCTGCCTCTGCCTCCCCAGTGCTGGGATTAAAGGCATGCGCCACCACTGCCCGGCTGTTTTCAGTACTTTTAAGCACAAGTAGATGCAGGAAATCCTTCACTGGAAGAGACAGTATGACAGCTCCATGCATTGTGCCTTGATTCATAACAGGAACATGTTAATTGCTTTCTAATCTGGGTTTACCAGTGGATCTGATAAAGTATAGGAATATTGCATCTCTAAATTTTGTTCTTTATACTGTTAGGTTACATATCCAACAACTATTTTCTATTTAATAACTTTATTGTTTGAAATGTTTCTAGTTGGAGAAAATTCAAAAAGAGACAGCCCTTCTCCGGGAGCTTGAAGATTTGGAATTGGGAATTTGAAGATTCACAGAAAGCAAATTTGCTGACCGGAACCAATCTAAGCAAATCTGTTAGTGCCATGATGTTCATGGAGTCTCCACATGCCCACTTTTAACATCAGTCTGTATCTTTAACTATTTGTCCAAGGCTGCGTATGTGTGATTATTTAATGATGTCTATTAAGTTGACTTTTACATCTGCACCCTGTATCATGTCAATATGTGATAAAGAGAGATGATGTTTTGTCAGGTAAGCTTAACAAATTGACGGACATTTGTTTTTAATAGGTAACAGTCTTTCCTATATAAATAAATAAAGACATTTAAAATTTTTTTTTGCCTTCAAGTTAAGATGTTCTTTATTATAAATTTATGGGATGTGTTATTCTTACAACAAACCATGAAGTGGATGTTGCTATAATGTCTATTTTGTAAGTGAAGCAACTAAGTCCAGAAAATGAAGATATTTGTGGGGGCTGGAGAGATGGCTGCTCAGATGAGGACTCGGGCTGTTCTTCTAGAAGATTGAAGCTTGAGTCCCAGCACCCACATGCAGCCATGGCTCTAACTCCAGTTCCAGGGTTTCTGAAGGTTCCTCTGGCCTCCTTAGGCACCAAGCGTACACCAGTATACATGCAGGCGAAATGTCCATTTACTTCAGATACAGATAAATATTTAAAAAAGAAGGAACCCTGCCAGTGTGGGAGACAGTCGAACACAAACAGTCTGACTCCAGAGCCTGTGCCTGGGTTCCTGTGGAGCACTGCTGGGGTCCCGAAGGCAGCAGCTGTTGGTCCTAACCCATGGTCACTGTCACTTTTATAAACAATGCCAAATTATGGATAATTTGTTAGTCCACCAGAAAAGTTCTAAATGCTTATTGGTGTTGACTGTAACAAGGCCTTTGAATCTTTGCCAAATTAAATTGAAAATGATTTTTTTGTTATTGGTTACGTCTGTTTCTTTTTACTAGAGATTCATTCATGTGTTTTACTAAGTTTGCCAGTTCTTCATATTTTAATGGGTTGTTTTTCTATAGCAGGAATAATAAAACCCAGAGACAGATATTGAGGTTCAAACTGAAGATCAGAAAAACAAAGCAGCAAAGCCACTAGAGAGTTCTCACCTCTACCAGGGCCAAAACCAAAGAGGAGCGATCCTGTCTTCAGAGTGACCGCAGTGCTCTCCTCCAAACCTCAGACTACACTGAGACTGCATGGAGCTCCTGCCTTATATCCCTCTCTAGTGCTGGGATGGAAGGTGTGAGCTCCGTTTCTCTGTTAGACTGATCCACTCTCATGTAGCCCAGGGTGGCTTTGAACTCACAGAGATCCATCTGCCTTTATCTCCCCAGTGCTGCTGGATTTAAAGGTGTGGCCACCAGTCCTCTATGACTAACTAGTGACTTAGGTGTGTGGCTAACTAGGGGCTTAGCTCTGCACTCTGATCTTCAGGCAAGTTTTATTTTTTAGATTACAAACAAATTTTTCCTTTGAATATTTCTCTCATTGATTTCCGGGAGATTTTTGTTGTTGTCTTAAACATTTGTTTGCTGGGTGTTTGGGTGGGTGTGTTTCAGTGTGGGCATGTGCCATGGCTCACATGTGAAGGTTACAGGACAACCCACAGGGGTCAGTCTCTCCTCTGTGTGGGCTCCGGGCATCAACTCAGATCGTCAGACTCGGCAACAAGTACTTTTACCACTGAGTCTTCATGAGCGTACTAATTTTTCTGTTTCTTTAGAAAGTACACACAGCTGGGTAGTGGTGGTGCATATCTTTAATCCCAGCACTCTGGAGGCAGAGACAGGTGGATCTCTGGTTTGAAGCCAGCCTGTTCCAGGACAACCTCCAAAGCTACAGAGAAACCCTGTCTTCAAAAAGGCAAAAAAGCAAAAGAACAAGAAAAGAAAGAAAGAAAACAAAAAGTACACACATACACAATTCAGGGAGAAAAAAAAAACAGCCCAGAATAAAATGAAAACATATCTCTTGCCTGCATTCTTACAGCAACATTTATCAATTTTTTTAAAGGTACAAAGTGTATATACATTCAGATATATATGTTCATGTATATCTTAAAGAAATGACAGTATATAAAAGCTGGTCTGTGCAAATGTAATGTCATATGCCCGTGGTCCCAGAGCTCGGTTGGGAGGAGGAGTGTCACGTAGGAGTATCACAAGATTGAGGTCAAAAACCAAGAAAGGGCCGGGCGTTGGTGGCCCACGCCTTTAATTCCAGCAGAGACAGGCGGATCTCTATGAGTTCGAGACCAGCCTGGACTACCAAGCGAGTTCTAGGACAGCCTCCAAAGCCACAGAGAAACCCTGTCTCGAAAAACCCAAAAAAAAAAAAAAAAAAAACCAAGAAAGGAAAAAGTCAGTGAATCCCCTTTGTACCCCTTTTCCCTTAAAACATTTTGGAGCTCATTCCCTATCAGTACTCTCTATCTGTCATTTATAATAATCTATCATATCATGTGCAATGTAGCATTTAAATTCACTCTGATGTACATTTAGGTTAAAACTGAGACATCACATGTATACATACACATGCTTACTAATATATCGGGGGTTCCTATTGAAAGACCCCTACCCAGGACCCCCTAGGAAAAGAAAAGCAAGGCCAGGCCGTTGCCTAATGAAAGAAACCCAGACCAGGTGTCTCACCCTCAAAACAGGATGTCTGTGATCACTATAGCAGTCATGGGACCCGGATAATAATTGCTGAAGCGTGCTGGGAACTTTCATATGACAATACTAGAAAACCTAGTCCTTGGCAACTACCCTGGCCCCCAATTGTGTCTGATCACTATAGCAATCATGGGACCCAGATAATAATTGCTGAAGCGTGCTGGGAACTTTCATATGACAATACCAGGACACCTAGTCCTTGGCAACTACCCTTGCCCCCAGTTGTGTCTATGATCACCATAGTAGTCATGGGACCAGGATAATAATTGCTGAAGTATGCCTGGGTCTTTCATAAAGTAATACCAGGAAACTTAGTCCGTGGGAACTACTCCTGCCCCCAAGATGAGCCAATAAAATGCCTGTTACTTATGTAACCATTGAAACTCTATAAATATTATACTCCCTGAAAGCCCGGTATGCTCTGCACCCGAGTTGCAGTAGCATCCGCAGGCTCCTGTGTACTCAATAAATCACCTCTTGCATTTGCAGCCAGTGGTCTGGCCCCGGTTCTTGGGCAGACGTTTCGGTTCAGTGCCCGGCGCTTTGATGCCGAGGTTTTTCACTATCTGGTTTCTTGAGTTCTTTATAGCTTATCAGTTTCATAAGGGCCTATTAATTATTGATCTTAGTGCCTCTGTTTAACGGTGTTCTGTTAAGAAAGTTTTCCTGTGCCAATGTGTTTAAGACTCTTCCCCACTGTCTCTTCTGTCAAGCTTAGTGTAGCTGGTTTTATGTTGAGGTCTTTGATCCATTTGGGGTTGAGTTTTGTGAAAGGTGATAAGTATGTTTCTATTTGCGTTCTTCTACATGCAGAACTCCAGTTTGACCTGCACCATTTGTTGAAGATCCTGTCTTTTTTTTCCAGTGTATATTTCTGGCTTTCTTATCAAAAATCAGGTGTCTATAGGTATGCAGATTTATGTGTGGGTCTTCTGTTTGACTCTTCTGACCAGTGTGTCTACCTTAGCTGTAGGAGTTTCCTGGTGGAGTTTTTAGGGTCACTTACGTACACTCTCGAATCATCTGCAGATAAAGATGCTTTGACGTCTTCCTTTCCAATTTGTATCCCCTTGATCTCCTTGCCCCAGCTAGAACTTCAAGTTCTTTTTTTTTTTTTTTTTTTTTTTTTTTGGTATTTTGAGACAGGGTTTCTCTGTATAGTCTGTCTGGGAACTTGCTCTGTAGACCAGGCTGGCCTAGAACTCACAGAGATCCGCCTGTCTCTGCCTCCCAAGTGCTGGGATTAAAGGCGTGCGCCACCGACGCCCGGCGAACTTCAAGTTCTATATTGAATCAGTATGAACTCTTGTTCCTGATTTTAGTGGAATTGCTTTCAGTTTCTCTCCATTTAAGTTGATATTGGCTACAGGATTACTGTAAACTGCCTTTATTATGTTGGGGTATGTCCCTTTTATATCTAATCTCTCTAGGACTTTTATCATGAAGGAGTATTGAATTTTGTCAAAGGCCTTTTTTTGCATATAATGAGGTGATTGTAAACTTTTTGTCTTTAAGTTTTTTATATGGTGGATTACATTTATTGACTTATGTATGTTGAGACATCCCTGCATCTCTTGGATTAAGCCTACTTGATCATAGTGGATGATCTTTTTGATGTCTTTTTGGATTCAGTTTGCAAGTATTTTATTGACTTTTTGCTTCTATATTTATGAAGGAAATTGATCTATACTTCTCTTTATTTGTTGGATCTTTGTGCAGTTTGGGTGTCAAGATAACTGTGGCCTTATAAAGTGAGTTGGGCAGTGTTCCTTCTGTTTCTATTTTGTGAAATAATTTGAGGTGTATTGACATTAAAACGTCTTTGAAAGTCTGGAAGAATTCTGTGCTAAAGCTGTCTGGCCCTGGGTTGGGCTTTTGTTTGTTTTGGGGTTTTCTGAGGCAGAGTTTCTCTTTGTAGTTCTGGCTGTCCTGGAATTCATTTGGGAGACTTTTGATGACTGCTTCCTCATCTCTTCTGATTAGTCTTTTATTTTGAAGTCCATTTTGCCACATATGGTTTTTCCTTGTTTCTTAGGTCCATTTATTAGGAATATCTTTTTCAAATCTTTTACCTGATGTTGGGGAAGTCCTGTGTATATGTCAATAAAGCACTGTTGGCCAATTGGGAAACAAGATAGGTGGGACTAGGAGTCGAGGAGGACTCTGGGTAGGAGAAACACAGGGAGTCACGATGTAGCCCGCCAGAGAAATAAGAAGCTCGGAAACTGCTCCCGTAAGAGAAATACTTAGATTAACAATTATGGGGTAGCCAGGCGTTGGTGGCGCACGCCTTTAATCCCAGCACTTGGGAGGCAGAGGCAGGCGGATCTCTGTGAGTTCGAGGCCAGCCTGGTCTACAGAGAGAGTTCCAGGACAGACTCCAAAGCTACAGAGAAACCCTGTCTCCAAAAACAAAAAAAAACAAAACAACAAAAAAAAAACAATTATGGGGTAAATACTTAAGTCAGAGCTAGCCAGTAAGAAAAACCAAGGCCAACAGCTTCATAATTAATACAGCATCTTGTATGTTATTTGGGGACTACAACTTGGTAGAGCCCAGGTGACTGGCGGGGGGGACGACACACCAAGCCACTGGCAAGGAAAAGGCTTCTCTTTACAACCTGAGGTCTATCCTTGA